ATTCACTCTAGATGCATTTTAGAGATGGAAGTGAGTGGATATGGAGGGACAGCAAACAAAAGAACCAAAGGTAGATCTTAGGGTTCTGGACTGAGCAATTAGATGCATAGTAGAGCCATCCTCTGAAACATGAGATGCAAATTACTGAGATTTATTCTGTGTACTCACTCCTACTTAAGGATTACCAAAGACGTTCCAATGGTCAAATCCAGGGAATCTGGATCCCATTAATCTCTCTTTACCTCACTTTAGTAATTCATTCTCTTTTGATTTCTTTTTAAAAATATTTTATTATTATTAAAATATTTTATTATTTTATGTATATGCATGTATTGCCTGCATGTAGGTAAGTGCACCCGTGTCGTACAATGCCTGTGGAGAACAGAAGAGACCGTCAGATTTCCCTGGAACTGAAGTACGAACAGTTGTTAGCTGCCATGTGGGTGCTGGGATTTGAACCCAGGTCTTCTGCAAGAACAGTCAGTGTTATTAACTGCTGAGCCATCTCTCCAGCTCCTTTGTTTTTGTTTTTGTTTGGTCTTGTTGAGACAGGGTCTCTCTGTAGCCCCAGAACTCACTACATCAACCAGGCTAGCCTTGAACTCTCAAAGATCCGCCTGCCTCTGCCTCCCAAGTGCTGGGATTAAAGGATTATGCCACCACACCGAGCTATTATTATTATTATTATTTTTTTTTTATGGTGTGAATGTATTGCCTGCATGTGTTTAAGTGCAATGCCAGCAGTGGTCAGAAGAGGGTGTTGGACTCCCTTGGAACTGGAGTTACCAATGATTGTTAGCCCCCAGGTGGGTGCTGGGAATTGAACCCAGGTCCTCTGCAAGAATAGCCAGTGCTCTTAACCACTGAACCATCTCTCCAGCCCTGCTTTTGATTTCTAAAATATCAAACTTCCATACTTTCTCTCTTACTCAGATTCCATTTATCTCCGGGCTCTCTGTCCTTGGGATCTTCTCCCACAATGACTTCATTCAAGCAATGAATGAAGCTTGGAAGCTCTGTTAATTTAAGCCTTCTCCAAATCTGTATTTCCAATTAGAACTTTCTCCTCATTTCCAGAACGATTTACCCAACAATCTTCATTTGAATGACTTTCTTAGCATCTCCAACTCAGCAAATTCACTGGGATGTCTCACCAGTATCTCCAACTCAACATCTCCACAGGGATGTCTCACCAGTATCTCAAACTCAAAATCCCCACAGGGATGTCTCACCAGCATCGCCAACTCAACATCCTCACAGAGATGTCTCACCAGCATCTCCAACTCAACATCTCCACAGGGATGTCTCACCAGCATCGCCAACTCAACAATCCCACAGGGATGTCTCACCAGCATCTCCAACTCAACAATCCCACAGGGATGTCTCACGAGCATCTCCAACTCAACGATCCCACAGGGATGTCTCCCAGCATCTCCAACTCAATGATCCCACAGGGATGTCTCACCAGCATCTCCAACTCAACGATCCCACAGGGATGTCTCCCAGCATCTCCAACTCAACGTCTCCACTGGGATGTCTCACCAGCATCTCCCACTCAACATCTCCACTGAGATGTCTCACCAGTATCTCAGCATAGCCAAATGCACTTCTATCATCTTTCCCTAACACTATTCTCCTATCTTCTATTGCATACCCTTTATCTGTGAAAAGCTCTACCACTTCCAAAACTACAGTTTCCCAAACTCCAAATTCATGCACCATCTTCTCTACCGGCTCTTTCAAGCCCACATGAAATCAGCTTCCAAATCAAATTTACTTAGTTCATATGTGTCTTCTCACCATTCCCCACTGCTTTCATTCAGGCCTGCATCATGCTCTCCTGTGTTATGACAATAGCCCCCCAGCTTCTCTGGTCCCAGTGCCCACCACTCTAGCCATCCTTCATTGGATTTAAGAATGGCAGACAAAGCCTTTGGTGAGTTGGTGCCTCTGGCTAGCTCTCCTGTCTCACCTCCCACTATTCCTCTTCTAAACTCCAACCTCCCACCATGATGAACAAGTAAAGGTTCATTCATAACTGTATACACTGTTTCCTCCCTTAATACCTACTCAGTTTAAACATCCCTTTGTGCAGTGGTCTGACCTTCCACCTGAGATGTCTCCTTCAAGTTCCACTGAATACCTGTATCAATAGTAACACTGGACTGGAGATGTAGCTCTACTACTAAGATAGTAATTGTCACAGTTTCTCTCACAAAACAAATTACTTGAGGACTGAGATTCTCCTGTAACCCACCTGGCAGAAACAAATCTATTCTAAAGAGACACTTGTCCCCTCAATCGATCATATATTATTAAAACAATGGATCCCAAGAAATTGGAATTCTTTCTCCCCACCAATCTCACGGTGGGGGGAAAGGAAATGGCCAAAGCCTTGCACTAGCTGGGGAACCTGCCTCCCAGAAAGTGTTCACAAAGTGCTGACAACTTGTTGGACCACCTTGCTGGAGTGACTGGAACCTAGACAATGATGGGGCAGTGGTAGGTGGGACCATCCCTTGACCCAGACTGCTAAATGTGCATATTCCTTGCCCTTCATTTAAACTTTAATCTCTTCGGCACCCTGAAGACAGACTGGAGGAGGGAATCACTGGATCTTCTTGTCCCTTTTCCCAAGGTGGCCATTTTATTCCCAATGTGAATAAATTACCATTTTCTGGGTTTTTTTTCTCATTATTATTAATTTGGTCATTTTAATTGACTTCTGGAGGATGGGTAGCCAAGCCTGGCCTCTTAGGGAACAGATTGTGACCCCAAGATCCACAATATTTTCTTGAATAAATCAGGTACTTTAAAAAGGTGCCTAATAGATGCCAGGTATAGTGCCACATGCCTTTAATCCCAGCACTTGGGAGGCAGAGGCAGGCGGATCTCTGTGAGTTCAAGGTCAGTCTGGTCTACATAGCAAGTTCCAGCCTAGCTGGGGCTACAGGGAGACCTGTCTCAAGAAGACACCCCCCCCCCAAAAAAAGGTGCCTAATAGATACTCAGTAGGTTCCTGTAGTCCCAGCTATCTGAGAGGCTGAGGTGGGATTGCTTGAGTTCAGGAGTTTAAGGTCAGCCTAAGCAATATAGTGAGAAGCAATCTCAAAAACACTAAAGTCAGTGTGGTGGTGCACATCTGTAATCTAGTATTCACTTGGGAGGCTGAGGCAGGAAGGTACCAACTTCATGGCCAGCCTGTACTACACAGTGAAACCCAAAGATGAACCCATATGTGTAATATCCACAAATCAGCATTCATGTTTTTTAATTAATTAATTTTAGATAAGGTTTGGCTCTGTAGCTCAGGTTGGCCTCAAATTCATGAAAATCCTGTCTCAGCCTCTTGAGTGCTGGAATTATAGATGTGGGTTACCATGCCTGGCTTCCACAAAAAGACTGGTTTTGGTTTTTATTCTAGAACTGGCAACATCTCACTCCATAAAATGAAAGTTCCCTGCTTTTACATTCATTCATTCATTCATTTATTTATTTATTTATTTATTTGTTTGTTTATTTTGAGTCAGGGCCTCCCAGATTTATTGATTAATTTATTTAGAGTCAGGGTCTCCCAGTAGCCCTAGCTGGCCTGGAACTCGCAGAGATCCCCCTGCCTCTGCCTCCCAAGTGCTGTGATAAAAGGCGCGCACCACCACACAAAGCTTCCCTACTTTTACTTTTAATAGCATGAATTTAATTAGGATCACTGACTTCTGTCCTCAACTGCAAGGTCTGTTATGTATATCACACACAATTCTGTACACAGGATTTCTGATAAACCTTAGTTTGGGGCTATTTTGTGCTTGTTTGCTTAAACACAAATATAACCCACACCATCACAAAAACATACACCTTTTCTTTTCCTTGGAAACAGGAAAAAACAGACCAGACTGTCTTATATACACAAAGGATGCCTTAATCTGCCCACCTTTGCAGGGTGAGGGCATTTCTGCATTTATATTATATAGCTGCTAGGTTTTATGGAAGTTGGTAATCACCAGAACTTCACCTAGTTTTCTGGTTCCAAAGACCACACTGAGAAGTTTTTCATGAAAGAAATTATTGAGTAATGCAGGCATTAAACAAATGGCATTTTGTGCAACAAAAGAAATGAAATGGAAGAATCTCCTTTTTCCTAGCAAATGATCCCTTTGTAACCACTGCTTAACCAAATTCTGGGACAGCAACAAGTCCCTTATTTTGAACATACAAAAAAGTCCTGAGGCAGACATTACTTCAGATGAACATTAAAATACTCATCCAATTCATGTAAACTGAGCCTTAGGTTTTACCCCAAAAATGAGTCAGAGTATTTGGTAAGGGGATGGGGAGGAATGGCTTTTTAAAAATCAAAAGTAAAAACACGCTTTGTAAATGTTCTATGTCTTGTCAATTTTTGGTGCCTATGCTTGGAATTCTTATGCATTTCAGTAAATTCTTTTAAGCCAGGTCATCCTGGTATTCCTGGATCTCTGCATTCGAGTCCAGAATAACTTGAATTTCTTCCCCGTGCTCTTCAGACCCCAGAGGCGAGAGTCACCGAGGGTTAAGGATGGATTTGAGCGCATTCGAAGTAGACCTTGCTAAGTGAGAGAAAACATTGGCTTCAACAAGGAAATAAACCAACAAAGGCCGCACAAATGGAAAAACCTGCAACCTTCCGCCAACCTCCCCAAGGTGCAGAGCGGGAGAGCCCCGACTAGGAGTCGGCGTCCCAGGAGGGCCTGAGCGGTCCAGAGCCACCGGGAGGGGACCGCAAGGGACGCGACGAGCGGGCTCCCCGCACAGCCCCCCGACCGGGAAGCCGCAAGGTGGGAAGCCCTCCCCCCGTCCTCCCTCTCAGAGACACGGAGAAAGGCTCGGCGGCTCCCCGGCCATGCTCTCCCGGCAGCATGCCGGGGCCCCGAGCGCGCAGGCCGCACCCCCTCCCCTCCGGGCGCCCGGAGCGCGCTCACGGCCGCGGACCCCCGCCCGGCCCCGGCCCGGGCATCACTCACACAGCCAGAGCGCCGCCGCCAGCACCGACCACAGCCAGCGCCTGCGAGCTGAAGCCGCAATCACTGCCGGGACTCCAGCGGCCGCTGCCATGTCCGCCGCCGCGCCGCTCGGCCCGGGTCCCCGCTGCGGTCGGCTCGCTGGCCTCAGCGCCCACAGCTCCGGGCTCGGCTACCGGTGCGAAGGTACCTCCATGCCGCCGCTCCCCGCTCGCGGCCCCAGTGGCCGCCAGCCCGCCCTCCGCCCAGCTCCAGCCCCTGCGCCCGCCCCACTGGCCGCTCATTGGCCTGCCAGGCGCACTGTGGAGGACACCATTGGACCAGTAGCCTGTCCGTCGGCCCCTCCCGTCGAGAGGGCCCCGCCCTCTGTCCCACCCTTGTAGGTCGGCCCTGCAAGCCTGCGGCCGGTGCCGCTGCAGCCCTCCGTCTGCCTGCGTGGCTGGCCGCGGATCTGCCCCGACCGCCCGAGGCTGCGCTCCTCCCTCCCCGACTGGCCACACAGCTCTCGGCATTGTCCTCGCCGCGGTCATTCCCCTGCCCTCTCCTCACCTCTGGTTCGGCTCTACTCACCTAAAGAAAAGCAGCTCATGGGGCGGGGTGGGGGGGTGGGGGGGTGACGATGGAGTAATATTTAGATGTCCAGACAGAACTTACCCACCTTCTGTGCCCGAAGTCTGCCCTTTACTTGAACTGGATCTTTCGTGTTGTAACCTGAGCCATCTCCATCTTGCCCTGACCTCTTTGGAGCCCCCCTTTTGGCCTACAAACCATAGGACAGGAGTAGGAATTGAACTCTTTCCTTGCTACCTGGATCGCCAATAAATGTATTTATTGTTAGTTTAGTTTGTTGCTGCCCCTCTGTGTATAAGAAAAGTTGGGAAGGGAAGTTCCTCACCTTGATTCTGAGTGCCTCTGCTGACTGACCAGGGCCTGCTGCACACCAGCTGCCCAACAAATCCGGAAGAGTGGAAGGATCCTGAGAATGGCCTCCGAAAGGGACAAATGGAGGAGTCTGAACACCAGAAAGATGAGAACGAAGGAACAATCCAAATGGGAGTCTGGGGGAGGAACACGGGTTTTAGGAACAAGACTGGAGGAGGTGCTTGATGATAGAATTGCAGCTGCAAGCTCTCATTTCAGGATTTTGTCAAAAGTCAGTCTCACTGGTGTCCTTCCTGATAGGCTGGTTTAGCCCGTTAGCCTTGTTGTGGAGCAAACGCCTAATTACCTGGCAGTTAGAACTAGAAAAGCCTATCAGAACCATTGTTGACTCTTCTCAGCAAGGTCTTCCAGAACAAATGCACAAACAGCGCATATGCACTAACTGATCTAGAATTTACTCTCAGGAAGTACAGAATCTACTGGTGTAGACAAAAAGTCAATTTTTAAAACAATTCTTGAAAGAGGGAGGTAAAGGAAACACCTAAGGCTAACAGACAGTGGCTCTCAAAGACATGTGTGTTAAAGCTTTTTCAGTGATTGTGATGTACTTCAACACTTGGCCAAGAGGAGTCTGGGAAGGATTTTTGGAGGTTGTCACATTTTGAAGTTGACTTTTAAGGATGAATAAAAGTTCACTAGAGACACAGAAAAAGCAACCTGTGTAGGCTGAGACTTAGTAAGGGAGATTATTGAAGTCCGAGGCCAACCTGAGCTGCATAGTGAATTCCAGGCCAGAAGCGGCTATAGTGTGGAATACGGTTAGACTCTATCTCAAAACAAAAGCAGAATAGAAAAAGCCAACTAGGAGCTGGAGAGATGGTTCAGCACTGGTTGCTCTTGCAGAGGACCTGGGTTTGGTTCCCAGCACCCACCTGGCAGCTATCAACAGTCCAGGGGAGCCGACACCCTCTTCTGACTTCTTCAGGCATTGCATGCACATGGCACACTTACACATATGCAGGCAACACTCTTGTACATACAAAATAAAAATAATAATAAAGTATAGAAAAGGAAAAGTGGGCTGGAGAGATGACTCAGCGGTTAAGAGTACTGGCTGCTCTTGCAGAGGACCTGGGTTCAAGTCCCAGTGCACATATGGCAACTAACAACTGTTGGTAACTCCAGTTCCAGGGGATCCGACACTCTCTTCTGACCTTCGTGGGCATTGCATGACACAGGGACACTTACACACATGCAGGCAAAATACTCATACACAGAAAGTAAAATTAATAAATAAAATATTTTTTTTAAAAGAAAGCAAACTCAGAAAACAGGAAAGCATGCATCAAGTGTGAGCAATACCACACAAGTCATGTGGTTGCCAATTTTGAGGGAGAGAAAAAGAAAAACAAGAATGCTAAAAATGTTGGTTGTAGTGATACTTACATATATGGTGTTAGATACCCTGGAACTGGAGTTAAAGATAGTTGTTAGCTGCCTTGTGGGTGGTGGGAACTGTACCTGCTCCTCTGCAAAAACAGGCAGTGCTCTTAATTGCTGAGCCATTTTTCTTGGTTTTTGAGACAGGGTCTTCCTTGTAGCCACAGCTGGACTGCAACTGGCTATGTAGACCAGGCTAGCCTCAATCTCACAGAGATTCTTTTGCCTCTGCCTCCTGAGTGGTGGAATTAAAGCCATGGGCTACCATACCCAGCCGGTAGTGGTATTTTAAAGAGCTCCAAGTTGCCTTTATTCTATAGACAGTGGAGAGCAACAGAAGAGGAGTGACATGTTCAAGTCTGTAGTGAAGAGAGCAGGATACACATGTTACAGCAGGGTGGGGAGGAAGCAGCATTTGAGAGGTGGTTCAGAAAAAAAGAATGAAAAGATGTCCTATAAATGGGGTAGGAAGTACAATGAAAGGGTTCTCATGTCTGGCCTGTCAATCTTGTTCCTAAGATCAATCCATTTCCAAGGTTTGTTTGTTTGTTTGTTTGTTGTCTGCAACCCCTTTCCAGTGAATGCCACAGTCCACAGTTACCATCATGGCCATCTACCTGGACTTTATCAGCCATGATGAGCTGTTCTCAGACATCTGCATGATCCAGGCGATTGTAGACCTGTTGTGTCTTGAATTAGAGGGCAAGTTAGTCAGTAGGTCAGAGGGTTACATCGATGACTCACTCACTAGTGGAATTGGGTAAAGTATCTAAACAATGTAATGACGGGTTTTGATATTGTCATGAACCATTACAGGAAACCAGCTTCACAAAAGAAGCCTAAAAGAAATACATCAAAGGTTTTTTTAACTCATTCAAAGGCAAACTTGAAGAACAGAAATAAAAAAGATTAAAGCCCTTTATGGCCAGGACTGTGGAACAAATCAACCACATCTTTGCTGGTTTCATTAACTATCAGGTTTTTATTGGTGAATCATGAATCCAGATGGCATGGTTGCTTTCCTAGACCACCCGAGGGTGCTGTGACTCCAGATAGGATTTTCCTTCAGGATGAATTAGAAGTGGAAAAAATGCTAACAAGTTGGGCAATTACTTTGATCTATCATCTAACTGGCCACTGCATGTCATCCATACAATATAGGACCCAAGACAGTTGGGACAGATGACATCTTGAGCTCTTTTATTTTGAGCCTGATTTATGTGAAATGGAGGTATTATCTTCTGGAATTCAGTATGAAAACCAGGCTGGCCTTGAACTCACAGAGATCTGCCTTGCCTCCACCTCCCAAGTGCTTGATTAAAGGCATTCACCCCCAATACCCAGCATGGGGTATTACTTTTTAAAGAAAGAAAAAAATGACATGTTGGTTGTCTAAAGTGTATTTAAACTAAAAAAACAAAAAGATCTGTTTCCACAAGAAAATTGAAATGCTGTGATCTATGGATGGTTGTGGAAAGATGTTCTGGAATACCGAATTTGATTCTTAATGGATGATCAACCAATAGACTCAAAAAGGAGGGGCTGGTGAGATGGCTCAGGGGTAAAAGTACTTGCCTGCCAAGTTTGATCCCTGGGACCCACGTGGTGGAGAGGGTGAAAAAAAAAGAAAGAAAGAAAATCTGAAAATTCATTTTCTAATTTTTCCTTTGCCCAGAGACAATGAATTAAGGAAACAGGTAATTATGCACTTAGGGAGGTGCTAATTATTTATTATTTTAGGAGAGGTGTCAGTAGTGGTGGAGACAGAGGCACAGCTGCATGTTGTTGCCCATAGGAGCCTGAAGACTTCACTTAACCTTTTACAAACCTCAACTCAGGTAAAACAGATCCTTGGCTTTACCACAGCAAAAATAAGATCAGAGTTCAATTCCCAGGACCCACATTAGGGAGTTAGTTCACAACTGTCTGTAACTCCAACTCCAGGGGGAATCCAATGCCTCTGGCCTCTATGGGCACCTGCACTCACCTGTACATATCTGCACATACCCACATACAGACAGAAACACATACACATAATTAAATTAAATCTTTAAAAAATAACAAAACTACGTTAGCAGCTTTTGTGAGATTCCCAGAAAATGTCTGGGAGAAGAATGAAGTCTAAGGTCATAAACATTCAGGTAGTAAGCCTGGTTCACTGCTAGTTTAACAAAAAATCCATATAGGCAAGAAATATTATATGCATAATTATATAAATATTTCCTCTAGTTGACAATCTTTATAACGGATGTGCTAGAATTCTTGTTTCTCAGCCAGTGAGAGGCATCAATCAGATTCTGGGGTAAGGAGTTCTTTTTCCTTTGCATATTCCCATAATTTTTCCTCTTTCTATCCTGCTCAGACAGCTATGTCACTCGGCTTAAGTGTAGCTAGAATAAAATGGTCCTCAAGATTGAGGCTCCCTGTGCTTTGTAACCATCCACATACTGCTTCACAAGGGCCTAAATCTAGGGAAGGACTATCTCTGGATAGGGGTCACAGGCACTGCTTTCCTCCTACAAAAATAGGAGCCTGTCCCATCCTAAGGCAACTGATTCTATGAGTCTTATTATTACCAACTTTGTTCATCACTGTAATGAGAGACAGATGAGATACTCTAGTATCTAGTGTGTAGAGTAAAAGATAAACTCCCTATCTGGGTATGGTGGCTCACTCCTGTTAACCCAGTCACTGAGGCAGGCCAGCACTGCTGTGGCTTTGAGACCAGCCTGAGCTACAGTGTGAGACCCTAAAGGGAGGGGGAGAGATAATAGTATTCAGGCGGGAAAGGACAAAATAGACCCTTAGCTTGTGGAGACTGGTATTTTAAAAAATCTGAAGTGATTATTTTACCCAATAAGTTATATCTTATAACGACTTCATCTCTCACGAACATTTTATAGAGTGTTCTAATCTTTTTTGCCTTGAGTCCTAAG